TTGGCAACACTGCGGGTTCGCAGTTAAGTGTAAATGTTTAGATCAGTTTTTGCTACAAGTTTTTAGTGCATGTGGACAAACTAGTGATGGAGAAGTACGCAGAGACCTTAGGCAGGAGAGTGCACGGTAAATAGCCTTTGATTGGAGATTTGAATAAACGTCAACAGGCAGACAAGCTAATGAAAATTAGCAACAACGTTATGGTAAATTATAAACCTTCAAACAACACACAAGGGGTAGAGCAGCGTGGTGTATACTTATCTTCTTGGATGATAACTATTGACAAGCATACGGGAAACAACAGCACGCTTGCATTTAAATGTGAAGCTTCAGAATGCTAACGGACGGCGATGTTTGTGCCTTGCAACCATAGCAACAGCTCGCAGTGAACAGCAGCAGTGGACGGCCAAAGTTGGTTTCATTGTTCCCTTTTCTTCTGGGTGGGCATCAAATCCCTGGTATTTTAATGATTTTCAGAAGTTGAAAGAAACCATTTCCACCTTAACCCCCAATCCCCTCCGACCCCGGTGATTACACCAATCACTGACACACGTACAAGGCATGATGATGCATAAATGACACTTTGTTAGTGGGACTTGCCCACCAAAATGTCAGCTGGACATGCATTATGGAAAATAGAGAAAAGCCCTACCCTATCCCCCACAGGGATAAGGACAGGTATGGTGGTTTAATTGACTCAAACATTGGTTTCTCAATAATATTACAGGCAGGCTCCATTGAATACCACATCCGTCACTCTATGTGAGTTCTTCAACTGATTTAAGAAAGGCAGTGGCCCTCCATCCATCCATTATTCAAGCCACTTACCCTCACGAGGGTTGCGGGCATACTGGAGCCTATCCCAGCTCACTTCGGGCAGTAGCAATCGCAAGGCAAACATAGACAAACATTTGCGTTAACAATCACACCTAGGGACAATTTATCATATACAACTAAACTACCATGCATGTTTTTGGAATGTGGGAGGAAACCAGAGTACCCAGAGAACACCCGCACAATTATGGTATGGCAGAGTTATTGGTGCCAGTGTTCTTTATAATTGCAGGATGATGAATATTCTTGCATTAATTAGTGTCCCAGTTGGGGTAACTTTTCTTTTCTTTTCTTTTTCTTTTCTTTTTTTTTTTAAATAAATGCCATTCTTAATTTGCATGTCATATTCATTTAATAATTGTCATAATGTGTGTGTGTGTGTGTACCCCCCTCTTCCCTCCCCCGGGTGAAAATTCCACCAGCCACCACTAATGTTAATATAGAGAAAACGGCTGGTTAACACGCAGTATATCATGATAACACACCAGCTACCATGCAAATATGCCCCCTACAGCAGGGGTCCCCAACCTTTTTTGCCCCACGGACCGGTTTATGTCAGACAATATTTTCAGGGACCGGCATTTAAGGTGTGGCGGAAATAATACAACAAAATAATATGGTATGAGCTGCATGAAAACGGTGGTGTTTTCGAAATATAATAATAAACACAAGGAGCGTCTAATCTGGCCGCAACACTGATCGCTATGGTAATGTTTAATGCCTTCAAAATACGATACAATGCAAATTCAAAGTGCATGAAAATGACGACTCACCACAGCCCCGAGCTTGATTTTCTGCAACCAGACGGTCCCATCTCGGGGTAATAGGAGACAATGACACCTCAAGTGTGTGTTTTACGTCAAGTCTACTTCGTAATTTTGTTTTAGTCGCCGTTGCTGCAGAAAATCCCCGCCTCACACAGGTAGCATGTCGGAAATAGCAACAGTGCTACTGTGGCGATCTCAGAATATTCAGCCATAACTTTAATCCAGTTGTCTCGAACGTACTTTTAAGGCCGCCGTCATTTG